CCTGGTACTGAGACCGAAGCAGAGAAACAAATCGCCTTTAGGATGGGAACGGCAAGTATTGAGTGCCTATTGTTATGGACCCTCAGGACTGGCCATCAGGCCTCATCCGCTATGCCCCTTCCTCTCCCAGCCTCATCTTGACCACTTGATGGGGACCTCGCTGCCTGCAGCTGGACATCAGTTTTAACTGCTAGAACATGCAGGCTTTACAGCAAGGCCATTAAAGGCTGGGCTCTGGGCCCAAGCTATTATTGTTATTATTACCATTATTATTAACAATAACTTTTAGCACACACCCTTTCAGATTGATTCATCAATTCCATTAGCCATTCAACAAACTGCCCTGGAAGGCCCCAGGCTGGGATGGAGGCTGGGGCGTAAACCAGCCGTCAGGGCCGGTGTGATGAGGGTTGCACAGGATGTGAAGGGGACACGGAATAATGCCATGAAATTCAGATTTGGTGGGTCCGGGAAGGCAACTCAGAGGAATTGGCCCTGAACTAAGTCTTCAGGGATGAGTCGGAGCTGGTAAGGTAGAGAAGAGATAAGAGTGTTTGGGGGTGGAGAGAATGTCAAGTGCGTAGGCATAGAGCCGTGAAAAGCAGGGCCAGGGCTGGGGTGAGAAAAGGGGGCCGCGAGGATGTGAAATTTAAGGACGCACTTGTACCCCAGACTCCGAATTTGCTTCACCCTAGTCCTGGCCCTGATGAAAAGTATGGCCCTTTCTAAAGAAAGAATACTTTACCCTGAAGGTGATGGAGAACCACTGAATATTTTTGAGCCAGAGAGTAAGATAATCAGATTGCCCTGTCTTGGGACTCTGCAGGGGTCATAGTGAGGATGAGACAGCTTCTGAAGATAATTAGAAGGAATTATCAACAGGCATTGACATCCAGTTGGCTGTGAGGTGCAAGAGAGAGGGCAGAGCCAGGGGTGACCTTTAGGTGTCTGACTTGAAGGCCTGGGTGGATAATGAGTCCATTCATCAAGGCAGAGAATGCAGGAGGAAGAGCAGGTTTGGAGGGGAGGAGAACTCATTTTAACACACCTTGCATCTCAGTTGCCTGTGGAATGTTCACATTAACAGGTAGGCCTAGGGCTTGGGGAAAAGCGACCCCAGGTGGAGATTAGGAAATTGTCCACGTCCAGGTGGTATGTTAAAGTCTGGGTCTGTATATGGGGCAGGGAGATGGGGAGGAGCGCGGGGAAGATGGACATTGAGAGACACTGAAGGAAGAGGAGTGAACAAGAAGGCTGAGAAGGAATGGGCGGAGAGAGGGGAAAACCAGGAGAGGTGAGTGCCCCAGAAACTGATGGAGGAGAGCTTCCAGGAGCCATGCTCAGAGGTGTCCGATGCCATCTGAGAGGCTGGGAAAGATGAGAAGAAGACAGAGTGTCCTTTCTCTTTGACAACGAGAAGGTTGCCAGTAACCTTGGTTGGAGCCCTGTTGTGGGGAGCTGGGGCAGAAGTGAGAGGATTTGGGTGAAAGTGAGAACAACAGGAACTGACACGAAGATGGGGAGGATGGGTGAGGAGGGTGTCGGTGAACTCTTGCAGGGTGCTTAGCTGTGAAGGAAGAGAAGGTGGTAACTAGAGGGGGTGTAGTGAGATCAAGAGCAGTTTGGGGCTATTCTCTTAGACAGGAGAGAGTTGACCATGGCTCTTTCCAGAAGATAAAGAGCCAACAGAGAGGGAAAATGATGGATGGGGTTGTGAAGAAGGGATCCAGGAAGCAGGTAAAGAACTCCACCTTTGCCCAGCCAGTGTGGCTCAGTGGTTGAGCTAGACCTATGAACCAAGAGGTCACAGGTTTGATTCCCTGTCAGGGAACATGCCCGGGTTGCATTGCGGGGCTTGCAGGAGGCAGCCAATCAATGAATCTCTCTCATCATTGATGTTTCCATTTCTCTCTCCCTCTCCCTTTTCAGAAATCAATTATATATATATATATATATATGGGGTTTTTTTATTTTTTTAAAGAACTCCACCTTCAATCTTATAAGCCTGGAGAGAAAGGGATGGTATTGCTTGAGTGAAGAATGTGGGGAGACAGGAAAATGAGGGAGCCCCCTCCCCATGGCTGTGAAGTTTGAGGATGGGGCAATGGGGAGGGTTAGCATGGGAGTTGAATTGGGGTGCAAGGGGACAGTTTGAAATTGTCACTCAGAGAAATGGAAAATGAAGCTGACTTCTGGTGTGACCCCCGCACCATTCATTCATTCACTTAATAAATATTTAAGGAGTGTCCCTTATGTGCATGGCACATTGCTAACATTAGAGCACAAATAAGACCTGGCTAATGATATCTTATTCCCCCATCCTCCCATTATTGACTAATCCTCGTACATCAGGCACTGGACTGATGATTTAACATATCCCAATTAGGAATCAAAATAATCCTAAGAGCTGGTATTTTTACAGATGAAGAAACTGGGGTTCAGAGAGGTGAAATGACTGGACCACGGTCATGCAGCAAGTAAGTGGCAAGGTTGGCATTTGAACACAGGTCTGTTTGGCTTCGGAGCTCATACTGCCCCTCCAGTTCTCCAGTTCTCACCCCAGCACCCTTTCCTCTCTCCTTCAGATGCCCTTCCCCCGGGCCAGATTTTTATTCTTGCACATCTTCCAAGAACAACTACCCGTAGAGACTTCCTAGAGCAACTACCCCAGAGAGTCCAGGATTTAGTGAGCTGGCCAAAGTGTGGTCATCTGCAATTACCACCCTATGCTGTCCATCGAAGACAGTCTTCCCCGCCTAGGTTAGGATGCAAGGTTAATCCACTCACACAAGCACCTGTTGACTCTCACCTCCTCAGGGCCAGGTGTCACTGTCCCTGAGGGGGCGTGTCCCTAATGCACCCCAGTGTTAGAGTTACAGCCTCCGCACTCTGTTGTCAGTTCTGGCCGCCGACCGGCTTTGTCACACATGTGACGGCTTTCACTGTGCCAGTGATTCTGCTCAGTTTGCCACAACAAACCCTTTGTTACACCTGGAAAGCAGAGCTCTGGAAGCCGGCAGAGAAGCTGTGGGCAATGCCTGGCGCTGGGATGGGCCGGGGCAAGGTTCCAATTCCAGAGGCCAAATTGGGCAACTATCTGATGTGGGTGAAAGGTGCCCCTTGGGTCACGGGGAGGGGGGGAGACAGGCTGAGAACTGACCTCCAAAGAAGCCTGAGTTGCTCTGTCATCCGAGTGTCAGTGAAGAGCATGAGCACTGATGTCTGTGCTGCACTTTCCTGTGTGACCTCGGCCAGTTACCTAACCTCATGGAGCCTCGGTGCCCTCATCTGGAAAATGGTACCCACCCTCACAAAATTACTGTGAAGGCCCAGCCGGAGGGAGTGGCTCGTTGCTTGAAGCAATGTTTCTCTCTCTCTCTCTCTCTCTCTCTCTCTCAGCATGTCCTCGGGTGAGGATTAAAAAAAAAAACAAATTGCTGTGAGAGGTAACTGAAAGCTTGCACGTAGAGCTCTTAGCACAAGGTCAGTTGCGCAGTAAGCACTCAAAAGGCATTAGCTACTATTTTCTGAGCACAGAGACAATGGGGCAGGAGGTGTTCTGAGGAGCAAGCTGCAGCTAGGAGAGGCAGAGGGTCGTCAGGCTGGTCAGGGGAGGGGGCCTTCGTTTTTCCCTAGGATTCTTAGGAAAAGGGCGGAGCTACAGCTAAAAAAGAATGCCCTTAGCAGCTGGTCCTAAATGGGGGAGGTGTGAAGACAGAGGGAGAAGCTTCCCTTTTAAAAGGACTGAGTGGGGAGGGCTCAGCAGGAAAGAACTGAACAAAA